CAGGTGTTGCAGTGTTATGACATTTGTCACCCCAGACCTGCCGGTCTAACTATAGCTGGTAGTTTAGGTGCGGGATTGTCAATCCCGTATAGATCTATACACAAGTATCACGCTCTCCCTCCAAGAGATTATGGTATATAATACAGGACTTGAAATGCATACAAAAATGTACGTTGAAGTTTGAATATCTCACATTGCCTAGTATAAGTAGATTTACAATGAAATGACCTTACTTCTTTTGAAAGTGTTTCGTTTTTCAAGATGTATATGTAAAATGTAGGACTGACTTGTTAACTATACCCATTATAGTTTTTCAGATAATATGTTCCATTTAGTAGAAATAACTTAGTGACATAATAGCTCTTGTATACATAAGATGTTTGTATCGATATTGAAGATAGAAATTTCATTTATGTTTATAAAACGATACTTTAACGTGTAATGTACTTGTATTCCCCCCCTAAAACATGAAAAAGAATTGAAAAGTAGGGGTATGAACTCACTCTTTAGGTTTGAAGAGAGAGGCTAGAGTTAAGTAGAACTTCGATCGCGGATAGTTGCGTCGTCGAGCTCTTCGGGGATCTCTGCAGCGTAAATCTTTCGTCGGGGGCTCGAGTACGGAAACCGAGGTGAGGGGAGGGTCTCTGGAGCTTAGAAGTATGAGAGAATGACTGAGGGCTTGTGATTTGTGTGCAAAAACTCGATCTTATGCCTTCTATTTATAGGGCTAGAAACCCTCGTACGCGGCGCGTACCTCCAAAGTACGCGGGGCGTAGGCAGTACGTGGGGTGTACTTCGGTTACGCGGGGCGTAACAATGCATCATGGCTTACGACTCCTGGCTAGCTAAGCGTAGAGTGGGCGGGCCGATGGGACTCGACTCTGGGTCTAGTACACGGGGCGTACTCCCAGAGTACGTGGGGCGTAATCTAGCCTGCCCTCTTCTAAATTCCGTAACTTTCGCGTACGAGCTCCGTTTTTCGTGTTCTTTATATCCACGCGTAGGTGAGATTATGCTCTACAACGTTCCTTTAGACTCCGTCGGCTAGTTTTGAATTTATTTTTAATGACATAAGTTTAAATAGGCTGGGCCTCCTAAAGTTCGTTAAAGATTTATAGGTTCTTTATTCGGCGTCGGTTTCCGTTTGTCTTTTTATCAATTTGCTCCTATTGTGGAGATCTTCAACTCTCATTTAGATTGCGTTAATTTACACTCGATCTTCAATTCGAGTTTTTAGCCCTCTACTACTGTTACGAAATTTTGAAAGTTCATAACTTCTTCATACGAGGTCCAATTTGGGCGATCTTTTTATGCACGCTCACCTTTCAACGAGATCTACAATTTTTATTTAGATACTTAAGGCTAAAATGCACATTATTGAGATTTTACTTTTTACGTCAGATAATGTTTTAACGGCGTGTCGTAAATATACGAGTGGTTATAATTTATTCAATATAACCCGGTTTTGAGCGTTCTTTATGTTTTCGGAAACCTTGACACGTTATCTAATATTTGGTGCATCCCAACTTAGATATTTGAATATTTTATTTTCAAGGTTAATTTAGTTGTATTCGACTTGTGAGCGTTACAATGCTTTTGGGAAATATAGGGTTGTCACACAGGTGGTTATGTTCGGTAGTGAAGGTGGGAGGTGGGAGGTGGTTGTTGGTGGTATTGATGAGTGGTGGGTAGAAGTGATGGTTGTGGGTTGTAGTGATAGGTGGTTGTGGTCAGTGGTGATGGGTGGTGGGGTGGTATAGGTGGGTGGTGGTAATAGGTGGTGGAGGTGAGTGGTGGTGGCGGGTGGTGGTGATAGGTGTTGATAGGTGGTGGTGGTTGGGGGTAGTGGTGATAGGTGGTGGAGACGACTGGTGGTGATGGGTAGTGGGTGGTGGTTGGTGGTTGGTGGTTGGTGGTAATGGTGGTAGTGGTGATAGGTGGTGGTGGTCGATGGCGATGGGTGGTCGTGGTGGGGGTAGTGGTGATGGGTGGTAGGAATGATAGGTGGAGGTCATAATGGTGGGTAGTGGGTTGGTGGTAGTGATGGGTGGTAGAGGTAGGTGGGTGGTGGGTGGGGGTGAATGGGGGCGGGTAGTGGTGGCGGTTGGTGGTGGTCAGTGGTGATGGATGGTGGTGGGTGGTGGTGGCAAGTGGTGGTGATGGGTGGTGGTTGGTGGTAGTGGCCGGTGGTGGTTATAATGGTGGGTAGTGGCTAGGTGGTAGTGACAGGTGATGGTTGTAGTGGGAAGTGGTGATAATGGTGGGTGGTAGGTGGGGGTGATGGTGGCGAGTGGTGGAGGGCGGTAGTGATGTTTGGTGGGTGGTTGTAGTGACATGTGGTGGTCATAGTGCTCGGTGGGTGGTAGTGAATGATGGTGGATGTGGATAGTTATGGTGGGTGGGTGGTAGTTATGGTGGGTGGTGGTGGTAGGTGGTGGGTGGGGATGGTGGTGGCAGGTAGTTGTGATGGGTGGTGGTGGTGGTTGTGGATGATGGTCGTGGTTGGCAATGGTGTATGGTGGTTATGATGTTGGGTGGTTGGTGGGGGTGGTGGAGCTGGGTGGCGGTGACGAGTGGTGGTCATGGATGGTCTTGTTTGGGTGGTGAGTGGTGTTAGTGTTTTATTTATTTATTTCTTTGTTTATATTAATATTATATGATGATTTTAATTTAAAAAAATTATTTGGTCAAATTTTTTTTCTCAAATGTTCTCGTAATAAGAAATTGTCTCGATTGAACGAGACAATTTTGTGAGATCTTAAGATGCAATTCTAGCCACTCATTTTGTAGATAAAAAAACATTTTTAAAATGTAAAATAATTGAAAATTTTCAAAAAAATTTTAAATATTATTTTCTTCATTTATATTTTCCAAATTATTTAAAAAAAACGTTTTTTACATATTCTATTATAATATTTTAGATATCTGACAAATCTAGTAGAATATTCTAAAATTCTAAAAATCATATTAGAATTTACAGTATAATATTCTATTTAGAATATTTCATATATTAAAATAAATTGTGATTTTTATTTATTTATTTTTAGGTACAAAAAGTGACAAAAATAATAATTAAAAAATGAATTTTCAGACTTTTCCTTTTATTTTACATTTTAAAATTATTTTTAGATTGCGTCTCACGGTCTCATCAAATTAGTATGATGTCAAATGAACCCAAACATATATATATATATATATATATATATATATATATATATATATATATATATATATATATATATATATATATATATATATATATATATATATAAAACAATAATTTATTGTTATTTTTTTATTTATGTTTTTTATTTTATTTATTTTTACTTTTTTAGGTAATTATAGCTCCGAAAATAATAATTAATTGTTGTTTTTGGATTTTCCCCTTTATTTTGTATTTAAAATTTATTTTTAGATTTGATCTCACGGTCTTATAAATTAGTATAGTCTCAAATGAATCTGAACACACACACACACACACACACACACACACACACATATATATATATATATATAATATATATATATATATATATATATATATATATATATATATATATATATATATATAAGGTTGAGATCGGTTGAGAACTTATAGTTTTCCGAGAACCCAAGAACTAAAAGTGGAGCATTGGATCAAAACTAATTCATTAAGGGCATTATCGTCATCTTACCGATCTCATTTATCGTTTAATTTTTTTTGTTATTGGAAATAGTAATAAAAAGTTTTAAAAGTTAACATAATAAATCAGATTTCGAATTTTTTTTAAAATAATTTCGAATCTATTTAAAAAATGGATATTTTTTCATTTTTTAATTGAAAAGAATATTTTTTTTTAGAAAAAATTGCAGTTTTTTTTTCAAAAAAACTGCATTTTAAAAAAAAAATTGCATTTTTTTCAAAAAAAAAAAAACTACAAGTTTTTCAAAAAAAAAAAACCTACAATTTTTTCAAAAAACTGCATTTTTTTAAAAATGTAAATTTTTTAAAATCAATACATTAAAAAAAACTAGAATATTTAAAAAAAAAAAAACCTAATTTTTTTAACAAAAAAATCAACGTTTTAGATACATATATGCATATTTTTCAAATACATATATGCATCTTTCTTTTACTATAATATTTGTAAGTAACCATATAAAAAAATCAATTTTTATTTAATAATCTATAAACACAATAATACAAGTATTTTATTCAACACAAAATAAATTATAAAAAAACAAAAAATACTACAAAATTTCAAAGCATTTTCATATCTTCGTGTCAAGATTTCCATATTTTATTTACTTTATTATTTTTCACCTTTTCAATATTTTCTACAAATTCTTTCAAATCTATAAGAAAAATAAAAAAAATTGATTAATGCAAGCAAAACTCACAAAGACACATGTGTGTGTATAGACTTAATTCGTATGTGATTCACTTGTGATTTATATATGAATCACATGTAATTCATATGAAATTTACTCGTGAGTTACGTTTGGTATTTCGTATGTGATTTACTTGTGATTGACATATGAATCACATGTAATTCATATGTGAAGTACATATGCTTTATATGTAAATTACATATGAATAACCAATAACTCATATGTGATTCACTTGTGATTTACATGTGAATCACTTGTGATATACTTGTGAATTACATATGATTAACTTGTGATTTACATGTAAATCACATGTAATTCATATGTGATTCACTTGTGATATATTTTCTAAAATGAAACAAATTAAAATAAACTATATGGTTAGAAAAAAAAATAATTAACAGTATTTACATGTGAATTACATATGATTCACATGTAAATCAATAATGATTCACATGTGTCACAAGTGATTCAAATGTGAATCACAGGTGAGTCACATGTAAATCACAAGTGATCCATGAAGCTTAATATAGAAATAATTAAAATAAACTATATGGTTAGAAAAAAAATTAAGATGATTTACATGTGAATTACATGTGATTCACATGTAAATCACAAATGATTCACATGTATCACAAGTGATTCACATGTGAATCACCTGTGATGCACATGTAAATCACAATATCTGAGAAATGTACATTTTATTGCCCATCTTTTAAATCACAATATCTGATAAATGGATTTTACCTGAGGATGCGTCGTTAGGAAAGGTGCAAGTCAGGATCTCCAATAAAAATTTCTCATTTTCATGATTAATCTACAACCAAATTCCAATAACAAGTTAATTACAAGCTTAATTACAAAACCACTAACTAATTCCCGCGAAAAAAAAAACTCAATTACCAATTCAGGAAAGTTCAACTAGTTCAACACGATTTCAAACTTATCGCTAATTGATAATCAAATGAATTAACACAAAAAAAAAAAAATTCAACATAATCATTGACGAAATAGTAAGATCTCACTTTCAATGAACTAAATAACAAATCTCACTTCTGACCTCTTGTGAGGCTGCAAGAAGCTCTTTAATAAGTTTGTATCCTCTTCTTCTCACAAGGTTCGCAAGAACTTGCCTATATAGTAATGTAAGAACAAAAGAATAATTCAAAAAAATTCACAAGTAGAATCCATTTCCATAAAGCATATAATTTTCTTTCTAATGAAATGTATGTTTTAATAAAGTGTGAGGATAGAACTGAAATCAAATGATATACAGATTTCTTAAGCCAATATGATAAATTTCCATTGAAACTCCATGATTACCTAGATAAGAAGTGATTTTCCTCACAGAAAAATTTATAAACACCCTCATATCATGTCACATCTCTACTAATTTTTTTGACTGATTCCTACTAACCATTTTTTTACTAAGGATGCAAGCAATTTCTAGTATCAGGAATGTTTTCCATGATAAGTAAAGCATATATATCAGCAAACATGTATTCAAGTGCAGAACAATGTATTGGAAATAAAGAAGAGTAATATAATGCTACAGAAACTAAACCTGCCATGGTGCGAAAGCTCCTTCAAAGAAGGAACGTGTGCGTTAGGAAACCCGACATCGGACATAAATTCCCGTAAATCGTTGCAGAGATCTACATAGGTCCTCATCGGTTTCCTACTGGTAACTCTAAAGCACAAAATCCGTTTAACGAACCTCAAATTAGGTAAAAAAATCAACACAAACAAATACATACAGAGACACATGCAATTGAAAATGAAGCAACAAATTGCAAACCGTGTTTCATTCAGTGATGAAGCACAATCTGTGACGAGGAGGCAGCGGCAGTGACGGACGCCGAATTGACAAAGACGAGGTTCTGGAGCGGCGGTTAAGAGGAGTTTGTAATAAGGGAGGAGGAAGTGAGAGTGAGTGAGGTGGAGGTGCGTCGCCATAAAGGATAAGTGAGAGTGAGTGAGGTGGAGGTGCGTCGCCATAAAGGAGACTCAGGCATGGATTAGATCAATTGATCAATGGAATGAAATTGATCAATTGAAACATGATATATGAAGAAAGCAAGGTAGAGAATTCAAAACTTTGAAACCTGATATATGCTCTAGCTGTCATTTTTAGATCTTAGGAACCGAACACAAACTAGAAAATTTAATGATCAAAAGAAAATTACCTTCACTGTGTGATTAATGATGATTTGTTAATAGTCGACGGAGAGGGAAGGAGGTTGATGTGGAAGATCTTTGACTGGAAGAGTAGTAGACCGATGTAGGGAGGAAGGAGAAGAGATCGTCAATTTATAGGAGACGATGGCGATAGTGTAGGTCTTACAAGAGGTGATGACGGTGATGTGGTTTCTAGGGGAGATTGATGAAATCCGTGGTAGTCATGTAAGGGTTTACAGAGAAATCATCCACCAGAAGGTATCATCTTCAAAACTCGGAACAAGGCGTATGGATTTACGTTCTCTAAACAGGGTCAATATCTATATCCCTAAAATACCCGCAATTCAGAACTCCATGGCATTTTTGTGGCATTTACAAAAATGCCACAAAGCATCTTGACCATCCTTTTTTTTGGTCTAACGAATGACTTTTAGTTCTCCGGTTCTCGGGAAACTATGAGTTCTTAGATGATCCTTCCTCTCTCTCTCTCTCTCTATATATATATATATATATATATATACACATCACACACACACACATATATATATATATATATGTGTGTGTGTGTGTGTGTGTGTATAAAGGACGATGTGTGGTATGCCTCGAGCATGAGGCAATAATACAGCTAATTATAACAATGATTATTGGATAATTGACGTAATTATCCTCAAAAGTTTCATAAAACACGACATACATGTTCTTGATGTAAGATTAGCTAGGAAAAGTTCAACGAAAAGAATTACCATGATGCAAACTTCCAAACCATTTGATGGGGTTAGCTAAATGGATACCCCATATTACCATTTAGATGCCCTATATAAATTTTAATGTATTTTTATTGGTTAAAATTGCATTGTTTTCTAAAAAAGATGATTAAAAATAGTTATCTATAGGTTGACTTTTTGATAAAGATGACTATAGGGTGTCTAAAGGGTGCCTTAATAAAGGTTGGCTAAATGGACACCTCCTATTACCATTTAGACACCCTATTTGATTCATGTTTGCAGTTAAGATTTGTGATTTTAAGGAGAATATCATCAGCAAATTTATATTATATGAGTATCTAACTGATCTGTTCACTAGGCCTATGATGCAGATAAGCATGATTGTTATACTAAGTCCTATGCGTCAGATTTGCAATGGATTAGCTTGAGTGTGCTTGTAGAATTCAATAACTAAGGAGTTGATGCATATGCACTCTTATGATTTAATGATTATTATTATTATAGAGATCTTAATAATATGCTATAAAGAAATTACTTTCATTAAGTACATCAATGTGTCCCATGTAAATTTTTATTACATTCTTCTTAGAGAGATTACTTTGTAGCCTATGACATAAAGCAATTCTAAGATAGTAATAACATGTATCTTTAAAACAGAGATACATAGGATCTTAATATGCAGTTTGATATGTTTTTATTATTCATAAATGTTGTTCATAATTATCAACTATATATGTAAGGATTAGCTGTAATATGATGAATGGGTGATGTCTATGTTGATACAGAGGCATCCGATCACAACCTAATATTGGCTAAGTTTGTCCTAGTTTAGTTTATTTCTTTATTTATTTAAATAATAAAGATTTTTATTACTTGATTATCTCTATTTATGGACTATACCTCTAATCAAAATCCTAGGAATATTTTAGTTACTTTCCTTTTTTTCCAAGGCTAATTCCATTTTCAGTAAGTAGGTTTCTTTTCCTAGAGGATTTGATGATTTTGATCATTGTGAATAAAATTTACTGAGACCTTTAGATCTCGTTCTTTACCCTGTGTTGTTTTGACCATTTGAACTGCTAATTTTTTTTCATCATTTGGTATCAAAGCAAACAAGTTGTCTTTCAAATGGTCGGACGTCGTAGATGTAACCCTAGCCGAAATGTCGATGGAGGTAACGACAATGAGCAACCTGATCCACATGATGTCAAAATTTAAAGATTTCAATAATGAGTAAGAGAGTTGGAGCTACACGACAGGACAAGAGAAATATGGAGGTAACAGGTTCGGAACTCAACTTTGAAGATGAAGAAGGGAACCCTTTCGGCGCCCACAACGCAACACCTTTGAAACATACCGAAGACATGGCCATAGACAAAACAATGAAGATCCGTTACGTATAGGGCTGTAAACGAACTGAACGTTCGGCGAACCGTTCGTGAACTGTTCGGCGGGAAGTTCGTTTATGTTCGTTTATTTAATAAATGAACGAACATGAACAAAAATTATCGTTCGTTTAGTTAAACGAACGAATATGAACAATGGTCTCGTTCGTTCATTTATATTCGTGAATGTTCGTTTATGATGTTTGTTTACGTTCGTTTATGTTCGTTCGTTTAAGTTTATTTATATTCATCTATATTCAATTAATTTTTATTATATTGCTATAATATATGTTCGTTTATGTTCATATATGTTCAATTGTGTTTTTTGTTTTTAATCTTTGTTCGTTTATGTTCGTTTAGCATGTTCACGAACATAAATGAACGAACATGAACAAAGTAATTTGTTAAACGAACGAACATGAACAAGAAAATCTCGTTCGTTTATCCGTTCGTGTTCGTTTGTTGTTCGGCTAACTTAAATGAACGAACATGAACAAGACCTTGTTCGTGTTGGTTTGGTTCGTTTACAGCCCTAGTTACGTAACATGGGAATGAAAATAGAGATTCTTGGGTTTGATGGTAAAACCCATCCAGACGACTTTATTGATAGGGTAAACACGATGGAATGAGTTTCTCATCTCAAAGATGTCCCTGACCCAATTAAAGTAAAGCTTGTGGCAATAAATCTTAGAAAGTGCTTCACTTTAGTGGGAACACGAGAAAAAATGATTCTAGAGTGATGGTAAGACCAAAGTCGAGACTTGGTCAAAGATGAAGAAGTTACTGCAAGGCAAGTTCCTTCCTGTCAAGCACCACCAAAAAGCCTTTCTAGATTATCATAATGTTGCCTAAAGGGGTTCATCTGTTGAAGAATTTATCGTAGAATTTGATCAACTCAAAATGCGTTGTGCTTCTAAAGAAGAAGAGTATCAGGTTATTACTCGATTTTTGGGTGTTCTTAAACCTGAAATTGCAGAAATCGTTCGTCTCCAACAATAATGGATGTATGTCGCTTAGCTATAAAGGTGGAAAAACAGTTAAAGAACCAAGGAAAACTAGGAGGCAACAGGTTTATAACCTCTTCACGATCACCAATTATAGAAACCCACAAGACAACTATCTTTAAAGTCGACGCCTCAATAGTTACTACCATCAACCCACCCCCCTCATATCCTTCGTTGCTTCAAATTTTAGGGTGTGGGTCACATTGCTAGAGATTGCCTAAACAAACAATCGGTTTCATTGGTGGAAGAATCGGTTCCTGTGTACGATACCGAAGATAAAGAAGAAAGGAATGCGAGTGAAATTGAGGTGGTGTATGCTGATCGTGGCGATGTTTTAATTACCCAACGTGTCTTAAATATTGGAGTGTTGAAAATAGCCGATGATAGTTCATGGTTGCGAAACAACATTTTCGCACAAAATGTACTGCAAAGGGGAAGATATGTAGCATCATAATTGAACGTGGGAAGTTGTGACAACATGTGATGGTGGAGAAATTAGGCCTCAAAGTGGAAAACCATCAAGAACCATACCACTCACATGGTTAAAAAAGGGAATGTCGTTAAAGTTAGTAAATGTTGCTTATTTCAATTTTCAATTGGAAAAAACAAATATAAAGATGACGTATGGTTCGAAGTAATTCCCATGGATGCTTGTCACATGTTATTAGGGAGACCCTGACAATACGACCGAAGAAACAAACATGACGGTTTTTGAATACATATAGTTTCAAGAAGGACGTGATTAACATAGTCTTGGAACCTCTCGACACATGAGAAAGTATTGTTGACAACTTATTTCTATACAAAATAGAATACATTGGATTAACGAAGCTCACCCCGCAACCCATTGTATATATATGCTCTAGTAGTAACATAAGAAAATGGCCTTTGCCAACTGTTCTAGATCTGGTCCAACCATTAATTGACGAGTTTACGAATGTTTTTCCAAAGATATTCCACCTGGCTTACCCCTAATGAGGAAGATTCAACATATCATAGATTTTTTTTACCAGCCGCCACTATCCCAAAGAAATCCACCTACTGCATGAATCCGAATGAATTGAAGAGTTACAACGACAAGTCAACACATTAATTGAGAAGCTACTATTATGTGAGAGTATGAGTTTGTGTGCCGTACTAGCTTTTTTAGTTCCAAAACAAGGTGGCAACTTTCGTATGTGCATTGATTGTAGAGTTGTCAATAAAATAACTATTAAACACCGATTCCCTATTCCTTGTTTTGATGACTTAATCGATAAATTGCATGGGACAACAGTTTTTTTTTTTTTTTTTTTTTTTTTCCAAAATTGACTTACGGAGTGCATACCATCAGATTCACATGCGACCAGGTGATGAATAGAAAATCGCCTTTAAGACATGTGACAAGCTATATTAGCGGTTGGTGATGCGCTTTGGCATATCAAATGCACCAAGTACTTTTATGCGTCTGATGAACCATGTTTTCAAACCTTTTATATGTTACTTTGTTGTCATTTATTTTGATGTCATTTTGGTTTTCAACAAAAATGTGGAGCAACATGTGTCACACTTTCGACAGGTTTTTGAGGTCTTGTGGGAGCAGAAACTGTATGCCAACGGAAATAAGTGTCATTTTCTTACTAACAAAGTTATTTTTCTTAGATACTTAGTTTCATGCAATGGAATACAGATGGATGAATCAAAGGTTAAAGCCATCACGAGCTGGC